CAAAAATAAAAGTTTTTCATGCCTTACATTTTAACTGCTATTACCTGTTGATCTGGAAATATGTGGAGAGGATTGATCTGGCTGTGTACAATACCTGAGCAAACATGTAGCAGGCATTAACCCTTAAACGGTCCAAACGTATATATACGTTCATGCGCGTAGCGCCCCAAACGTATATATACGTTTTCTTTGTCATTCATTCAACATTGCCACAATAAGCCTGAGTCACCTAGACATGAGAGAATGGGTGTGAGCACTCGCTGTGTGCCATATTAAAATAATTGGGGATGCCTGGGAACCATATGCTCTTTTTTTCCCTTTTAAAAGAAAGGATTTTTTTTCCTCAAAAAATTTGGGGCGCTACGCGAGTGAACGTATATATACGTTTGGACCGTTTGGGGGTTAACAACTACTATACCAATCAGTTACTATCATCACCTGCCGTCAACATTGGTAAAAGCAAGCCACATTTCCTCAACAAATTATACCAAACATACAGGAACTCACCATACCAATACCAAACATATACTAAAAATAAATGCATGATAAAATAATAACTACGAGAAACAAGTAATATTGTATAAAATGGTGTGGGAGGTTTGCTCATCAAGGGCTATGACTGAAAGAGCCCTACAACTGGAAGCACTGATACAATCTATACAACGCAAGCTCTGGTGACCACAACTATACTAGTGAAGATTATACATTAACTACATAACTTTCTCATGTATTAGATTTTCACACAATTATCAACCACCAATATAGTAAACAACCATAGAAATACAGCAGTACATTAATGTGCATTAAATGTAATTATGGTTGCTAGCCTTCATGCACTGCCTCCCTGCTTGTTTTGTTAAACTATGGTGTTATCATTGGTCACCTTCCTGCACTATAATGTGGACTTGGGTGCTATATTTCAATCACGACTTATTGAAAATGCTATCTGTGGATGTGCAATATGCGAGAGTCTACTGTCTACGTATGTATATATTAATAATGAAAATACATGTATATAGGTACGAGTGTGAAAGTGTGAGTGTGTGTGCGCGTAACCCTCCCTACTATACTTCCTATAGGTTATTCATCTAATTGTTTATTCCAACACACCCCCATCACTGCATTATCACTCGACTTGCTTCTAAATATTACACTTTCCATTAAGAATTAGTTTACTAGTTATTTAATTTTGATTTACTCCTCTTAATCTCTCTCACTGTGTCCACTTAGGCTCATTGTTCTACTAATTTAAACTTCTTGTATATATCTGCTTATTTTTTCCAATTGTTCTCTTCCAATTAGGTGGCATGAACTCTTGCAATCCACTATACTGTATATTCCTGTGTCAGACCTAGTGAGACAACAGAGGATCATATTACTCCACTTTAAACTTTTTACTGGCTTGTGACAAGGTGTCGCTGTGAACTTTACACACCAAGTATTTATTTAAGAGGCATAAAATAATCAGTTTTGAGAGCTTACAGTGTAAAGTTCATAGTTAGCAATCTCATCACACATGCATTATAAATTTTGTTTAATTCTCAATTAAGTAATCAAAATCTCACTTTAACCCAAAAAGGTCAAAATATTTTAAAGGTGAAACTAGTCTAGAAAAAATGAACAATTAGTATTTTCAGCAAAAATTTTTAATAAAAATAAATGAACCAGATACTGAAAAAATGTCAACAAAAGTATCTGCAACATTACGAATAAGATACAAAAACAATCCATTTATAAACCTAGTTCATGATTTTACTGCTATCATTCAACAAAGCACACCCAGTATTTAAAAGAAGCCCCAAATAAGTGATGCCCAATGCTGGGTTACGCAAGTGGGTAACAGAAGCAGTGAGCAGCAGACGATGATACAATCAACAGCAAGTTGCAGATGAGGGCAGCAGAGGCTAGTCACATACGAGGTCAGAAGCAAAGTTGTAAACTAGGGCAGAAGTGGACACTCTCGAACAAGATCAGCAGCAGTGAGTTGCAGATGAGGGCAGCAGCAGCATATCACAAGTGAAGACAACACTGGCAAGCCACTGAATTAGCAGACACCAGAAAATCACACCAATGAGTAGCAGTGACAACAGGGAAGTAGCTCAAGAAGGCAGCAGTGATCACCAGTCACTTGACAGGGATTAACATCCAGCATGAAAGTGCCCAAAGGGCAGAAGAGGCTGGTCTCTTGAAAGACACCATACATGGATTGCTGAGGTGGGCGGTGGAGGCGGGTGGCGGCTTGGAAAGCAGCAATGAAGAGTTGCTTGGAGAGCAGCAATGAAGTCGCTTTGAGAGCAGCGATAACGAGTCACCTGGAGAGCAGCGATGACGAGTCGCCTGGAGAGCAGCAATGACGAGTCGCCTGGAGAGCAGCGATGATGAGTCGCCTGGAGAGCAGCGATGATGAGTCGCCAGGAGAGCAGTGATGACGAGTCGCCCGGAGAGCAGCGATGACGAGTCGCCCGGAGAGCAGCGATGACGAGTCGCCTGGAGAGCAGCGATGACGAGTCGCCTGGAGAGCAGCGATGACGAGTCGCCTGGAGAGCAGCGATGACGAGTTGCCCGGAAAGCAGCGATGACGAGTCGCCTGGAGAGCAGCGATGAAGAGTCACCCGGAGAGCAGCGATGAAGAGTCACCCGGAGAGCAGCGATGAAGAGTCACCCGGAGAGCAGCGATGAAGAGTCACCCGGAGAGCAGCGATGACGAGTCGCCTGGAGAGCAGTGATGACGAGTCGCCTGGAGAGCAGCGATGACGAGTCGCCTGGAGAGCAGCGATGACGAGTCGCCTGGAGAGCAGCGATGACGAGTCGCCTGGAGAGCAGCGATGACGAATCGCCTGGAGAGCAGCAATGACAAGTCGCCTGGAGAGCAGCAATGACAAGTCGCCTGGAGAGCAGCAATGACAAGTCGCCTGGAGAGCAGCAATGACAAGTCGCCTGGAGAGCAGCAATGACAAGTCGCCTGGAGAGCAGCAATGACAAGTCGCTTGGAGAGCAGCAATGACAAGTCGCCTGGAGAGCAGCGATGACGAGTCACCTGGAGAGCAGCGATGACGAGTCACTTGGAGAGCAGCAGAGATGGGTCGTTTGTAGAGCAGCAGAGATGAGTCACACGGAGAGCACCAGAGATGGGGCGTGAGAGCAGCAGAGCCAGTTCGCACAGAGGCAGCAGTATCCAAAAACAAATCACTCAAAGCAAAACTGAGCTTTTCACGCCCAATATCAAGTCACTCAAGAGGCAACACAGAACTTTTCAAAGAGCAGCAGTGCCCAGTGGCAAGTTCATGAGGGAAGCAATGAACTGTTCGAAGATCAGCAGTGCCTAGCTTTAGGTGATCTTTGGGTAGTGGCGCCAAGTGGCAATATTAAGGGAAATAAAAGACCTACTGCACACCCAATTTCTCTCAACAGAATAGGCAGACTAAAAGGGTTTCTTCTGGATATCCCGCTACAAAAATGCAATTTATTATGAAAACAAGAAAAATTTTCATACCATTTAAGCATTTTGCATACTATTTATTTTTCCAGATGACCTACTCGTCTATTCTATAGCATCACTATTATAAATGGTACACAGTCACGTGGATTTCTCATTCTTTACAATTCTATGAATTGTAAATTTGTGAACTCCAGACGCACATGTCTACTACAATACAAGAGCACCTCATCAGAGGTTATTCAACAACTACCTTTTTTTTATACATATATTTATAAAATTGGACAATCATGATGACACTTCTGGTAATACCAGTTATTTTCTTGGGTACCATGGGTAATATGCAAATATGAAAATGATATTAATATGAATAAAGAGTTGGTAAATATGGTATCAACATGGACTGCAACAGTCAAGCCAAGCTAATAAGGCAGAAACACTGGCAATTGTGACTGGGAAAAGACTAAGCATTCTTGATTATATCCACTAGACAGTGAGGTGCCTTCTAGAGAAGAAGAGCGAAATGTCCTGGACACTTCACGCTATACTGTACATCACCAAACCATACAGTATAGCACAACTAAAGTATCTGTGAGCTCAGTCTGTTTTGCCAAATTTTAATTTTTAGTTTGCTTTTAAGATTGCATTGAAAAACCATGCAACATATGACAGTTCCAAACTAGGATTTACTTAATCAACAAGTACAATTCAACATACAGTATGGTATTAATTACGACAAATATTCAAACATGCATGCTACATTTCTATACAGTGCTCCCTTCAAATTCACAGGATACAGTCCTATACATTCCTGAGGTAAATAAGAAAAAAAAAAAATTCACTTCTTCAGGCATCACCAATAGCACTCGTAATGATTAACACGAGATCTGTGAACCCAAGAAAACAGCTTAAGGTATGGGAAATCAATCAAGGCCACTGGAAAAAGCTATAGACTTTTTGGTTTAATTTTTTTTTTTGCCATCACTAGGTATAAAGTTAACCTCATTAATTTTGTCAGTTGTAAGAGTGGCAAGCATGCAAGCACATTTAAGCATGTTAAATCCAGTGAACACACATCGAATGAAATCCTATGACTGAGTTACAACTGACTGGTCATGTTACACAGCAAAACAAAATGGGTAATGAAAAAAAAATGCATATACAACAATAAGCCATACCCCAAAAACTCCTACAGACCATTTTAAGAAAAATCCTATTGTTAATTTGACTATTCCTTTAAAAAAAAAATTGTTTTATTAATATTCATAACAAATATTGCTACATCTCTCTTGAATATTGCACTAACTGCATTTATAGTCACATTCGAAAGAATGTGACAAAATAACAAAAAATTTAGCTGAGGGGGAAATCCAATAAGTTCGAGGGAAACTTTTGTTAATTTTAAAATTATATGTTGTGCAGCAGGAAAATTTTAAATATTCATAACAAACCCTCAATAACAATTGTTAAATGTAATCAGAAAATTTCAAGTACAGCCCTGCAAATTTGTTGGGAGCACTGTATTCTCTTTCAACATTCATAAAACTGAAAGTGTGCACTGTACCTGTCAAAGATGCGAGCTTCTTTCAAAACGTTGCCAAGATTGATGTATGCATCAAGGAAATTGGGATCTAAAGCAACGGCTTTTTCAAAGTGATGAATAGCAAGCCAAATCTCGCCCTGGGCATTGAAGACACATCCAAGGTTGCTCCAAGCCACAGCGAAGTCTGGTCGAGTTTCTATGGCTTTTAAGTAACACGCCTAGACAATTGAGGAGAGGGAGGGGAAGAAAACAAAAGATTAGATATGGTTCAAGAATATGAAAAAAACGCCCTACTCGCTCGCCTAATGCGCCGCAGCCTAAACGCTCGCTTGCGACACGACCTCTCTGCCAGAGCTGATGGGTGCATAAGATGTTCTGCACATGAGAAAATTAAGTTAAGTAAAAATAATTCTAGATGAAAATAATTCTTAATCCATGCACACACATAAGCAGTGACAATGAAAAAGTCCGCCCTATTGCGTTCCCGCGCATTTCGCCCTCTCCTACGCAAGCGCTGCCCAGGATTTTAAAATCTTACACTTGAAATGTGTCAGCCTCCAACAGTTATTGACCCTTAAATTTTCCCAGTTTCAACATCAAAATACTGTATCCCATAAAAAATTACAATAACCCAAACAATTTTAAACCCATGAAAAAATCTGTTTCGGAGGCTAACTGCTTTTCTTGATGGGGCATTAAAACTGTTTTCACATTAAATCTCATCTATTGCCGAATAGGACGCGTGCCCCTAAAAAATCTTTCCCCTGAGGAGCTCCTTCAGCTTTCCCTCTTAATACAAACCCTTATATGGCGCTTCCCGGCAGGTCCACCTACATCTTAAGTGCTCCAGGAATAACGAAGGCTTCTTCAAGACGACCTCTGCAGAGGAGTAGGGCTGTACAGCCTCAACATCTATTACGACCAAGGGAAGAAAAGTAAAAACAAATCTGATTAGTGTGGCTTGTAGTAACAGCTCTTGTCACGGTTCTGTACCAGGATGCCTGGGGTTTCTGGATTCAGAGAAAAACTGGCTTTACCTTTTCAATAAAGCACAAAAAAATTCCATCGACTGCCAGAACAGATGTGCAGTAGTACTTGAACGAAAGCCCAAGCATCGAAGTGCATTTTCTTCACAGTTCAGAAACTCAAGATACAATCTGCATCTCTATTTCACTGTTTTAGGGAACTAGTATTGACAAAGTTTGAGAAGAAATAATAAATAGCAAAAACCAAGAGGAACTTCATGCGACTGTTTTGAGGTACAATTCATCTTATTTAGAAAGCCAAAAAAAAATTGCTCCTTTGAACTGGTCAAGGTGCTAAACAACCAAGAGACATGTAATACAAAACAGCTGCAGTGCTAGAAAGTAAGTACTGTATGTGACTCAACCTTCCAGCCCTCTAGGAGAAGCACATTAGTAATTGTATATATATTGTAAAACAGTTAAAAATTTATAGCTGATAACCATTCTGAAAAAAAAGTGACACTGTTTATTCAACATAAGGAAAAATAAGCTTTTATTTTACTTATGGTATTCCTTGAGGACTGAATCATCATGCATGCGCTGCAATGGTGTTGAGCAAGACTAGGCAAAAGAGCACAAGCCTGGCTCAACATACCACTGTGGAGTCACATGGATCTACAGCGCAGATCCTTCACTTACCCTCTGCTAGATTTCAAAAGGCAAAACTCTTCATCGCGGATTATAATCCGGTACGCACGCGCCAAAAGTCTGCATTTAGTGGTGGAAAAAGGCTTAACAAATTCTTCCATAACTTGACAATGAATATGCTGCTAATTACTTGTATCCAAAAAAGACATCCTTCAACACTAAATGCTGGCTTTCATTGTATACATTACGCAGTTATCACTAACTTGGCCATAACCCCTTGCTCAAACAGTTCCCAGAAGTTAAAGTGATAATGAAATAAATTTTTGAATATTTAAAAAAATGAGCAATTCCTCTAGGTTAACAGCTGATGAAAGGCAGAGATACTAACAATGATCCCATCCAGAGGTTAAAGGAAGGTCAAGGAAATTCTAAATAGTCCGTAGGTCAGTGGATTATTTTTTGCTATGATTAAAGAAGACAATGCTGCAGTAAATTTTACATGGTGAAGAGAAAAGGCATGGCATGGAAAAGGCCTTCACACCTTGAAAGGCCACATACCTTTGCTTCATCCAGTCTTCCAAGGGCCTTCAAAAGATTACCCAAATCGCTCCGTACACAATACAGATCCTGAAAAAAAATTAAAGATTAAAAAGATAGGAACATAAGCAAGATGTTAATATACTTAAAATACAAATTATCAACAAAATGACAAAAAAATGAATAATCCTATCTAGTTGTAACCACCTTAACCATGTCAGACACGAGTACGAATATGATGACTGTGTCCAACATACTAGTACAAAATTTTCTGTGCCTTCAAAAATGCCACATACCAATATTTTTGACCTCAGCACAACTGTTTGGGTATCCTACCTCTTCATGCCTTTGAAACAATCAAAGACCAGTTGGGTTCACACAATGCATCCAATTAACACTTCCTGACTATCAGAAGTAAACATTTAAATCAGGACCTATTGTTCCACAACCAGAAAACAGCCTGTGGAACTGACAGGAAGATGCCTTATTTATTCAAGGTTTATTATAGTTTCACGATACCAACAATGGAATTCAGTGAAAAAGCACACCATTTCAAACGAACCTAGAATAATGCAATATAGTCAGACAATGTTACTTATTTCCAAATTCTGAGGATTACTACAACTTACAACAATTACTGTAACATAAGTAAAAGAAAGACTACAAATGTATAAATTCAAGGATTATGTGGAGTAAAATAAAGATTGGATGTGAAAAGTGGGTTATAGTAAGCGTGTATGCACCTGGAGAAGAGAGAAGTGTAGAGGAGAGAGAGAGATTCTGGGAAATGTTGAGTGAATGCGTGAGGAGTTTTGAATCAAGTGTGACAGTAATGGTGGTTGGGGATTTCAATGCTAAAGTGGGTAAAAATGTTATAGAGGGAGTAGTAGGTAAATTTGGGATGCCAGGGGTAAATGTAAATGGGGAGCCTTTAATTGAGCTATGTGTAGAAAGAAATTTGGTAATAAGTAATACATATTTTATGAAAAAGAGGATAAATAAATATACAAGGTATGATGTAGCACATAATGAAAGTAGTTTGTTAGATTATGTATTGGTGGATAAAAGGTTGATGGGTAGGCTCCAGGATGTACACGTTTATAGAGGGGCAACTGATATATCAGATCATTATTTAGTTGTAGCTACAGTTAGAGTAAGAGGGAGATGGGAAAAGAGGAAGGTGGCAACAACAAGTAAGAGGGAGGTGAAAGTGTATAAACTAAGGGAGGAGGAAGTTCGGGCGAGATATAAGCGACTATTGGCAGAAAGGTGGGCTAGTGCAAAGATGAGTAGTGGGGGGGGGGGGGGTTGAAGAGGGTTGGAATAGTTTTAAAAATGCAGTATTAGAATGTGGGGCAGAAGTTTGTGGTCATAGGAGGGTGGGGGCAGGAGGAAAGAGGAGTGATTGGTGGAATGATGAAGTAAAGGGTGTGATAAAAGAGAAAAAGGTAGCTTACGAGAGGTTTTTACAAAGCAGAAGTGTTATAAGAAGAGCAGAGTATATGGAGAGTAAAAGAAAGGTGAAGAGAGTGGTGAGAGAGTGCAAAAGGAGAGCAGATGAAAGAGTGGGAGAGGCACTGTCAAGAAATTTTAATGAAAATAAGAAAAAATTTTGGAGCGAGTTAAACAAGTTAAGAAAGCCTAGGGAAAGTATGGATTTGTCAATTAAAAACAGAGTAGGGGAGTTAGTAGATGGGGAGAGGGAGGTATTAGGTAGATGGCGAGAATATTTTGAGGAACTTTTAAATGTTGAGGAAGAAAGGGAGGCGGTAATTTCATGCACTGGCCAGGGAGGTATACCATCTTTTAGGAGTGAAGAAGAGCAGAATGTAAGTGCGGTGGAGGTACGTGAGGCATTACATAAAATGAAAGGGGGTAAAGCAGCTGGAACTGATGGGATCATGACAGAAATGTTAAAAGCAGGGGGGATATAGTGTTGGAGTGGTTGGTACTTTTGTTTAATAAATGTATGAAAGAGGGGAAGGTACCTAGGGATTGGAGGAGAGCATGTGTAGTCCCTTTATATAAAGGGAAAGGGGACAAAAGAGACTGTAAAAATTATAGAGGAATAAGTTTACTGAGTATACCAGGAAAAGTATACGGTAGGGTTATAATTGAAAGAATTAGAGGTAAGACAGAATGTAGGATTGCAGATGAGCAAGGAGGTTTCAGAGTGGGTAGGGGATGTGTAGATCAGGTGTTTACATTGAAGCATATATGTGAACAGTATTTAGATATAGGTAGGGAAGTTTTTATTGCATTTATGGATTTAGAAAAGGCATATGATAGAGTGGATAGAGGAGCAATGTGGCAGATGTTGCAAGTATACGGAATAGGTGGTAAGTTACTAAATGCTGTAAAGAGCTTTTATGAGGATAGTGAGGCTCAGGTTAGGGTATGTAGAAGAGAGGAAGAATACTTCCCGGTAAAAGTAGGTCTTAGACAGGGATGTGTAATGTCACCATGGTTGTTTAATATATTTATAGATGGGGTTGTAAAAGAAGTAAATGCTAGGGTGTTCGGGAGAGGGGTGGGATTAAATTATGGGGAATCAAATTCAAAATGGGAATTGACACAGTTACTTTTTGCTGATGATACTGTGCTTATGGGAGATTCTAAAGAAAAATTGCAAAGGTTAGTGGATGAGTTTGAGAATGTGTGTAAAGGTAGAAAGTTGAAAGTGAACATAGAAAAGAGTAAGGTGATGAGGGTATCAAATGATTTACATAAAGAAAAAATTGGATATCAAATTGGGGAGGAGGAGTATGGAAGAAGTGAATGTTTTCAGATACTTGGGAGTTGAAGTGTCGGCGGATGGATTTATGAAGGATGAGGTTAATCATAGAATTGATGAGGGAAAAAAGGTGAGTGGTGCGTTGAGGTATATGTGGAGTCAAAAAACGTTATCTATGGAGGCAAAGAAGGGAATGTATGAAAGTATAGTAGTACCAACACTCTTATATGGATGTGAAGCTTGGGTGGTAAATGCAGCAGCGAGGAGACGGTTAGAGGCAGTGGAGATGTCCTGTCTAAGGGCAATGTGTGGTGTAAATATTATGCAGAAAATTCGGAGTGTGGAAATTAGGAGAAGGTGTGGAATTAATAAAAGCATTAGTCAGAGGGCAGAAGAGGGGTTGTTGAGGTGGTTTGGTCATTTAGAGAGAATGGAGCGAAGTAGAATGACATCGAAAGCATATAAATCTATAGGGGAAGGAAAGAGGGGTAGAGGTCGTCCTCGAAAGGGTTGGAAAGAGGGGGTAAAGGAGGTTTTGTGGGCGAGGGGCTTGGACTTCCAGCAAGCGTGCATGAGCGTGTTAGATAGGAGTGAATGGAGACAAATGATACTTGGGACCTGACGATCTGTTGGAGTGTGAGCAGGGTAATATTTAGTGAAGGGATTCAGGGAAACCGGTTATTTTCATATAGTCAGACTTGAGTCCTGGAAATGGGAAGTACAATGCCTGCACTTTAAAGGAGGGGTTTGGGATATTAGCAGTTTGGAGGGATATGTTGTGTATCTTTATACGTATATGCTTCTAAGCTGTTGTATTCTGAGCACCTCTGCAAAAGCAGTGATAATGTGTGAGTGTGGTGAAAGTGTTGAATGATGATGAAAGTATTTTCTTTTTGGGGATTTTCTTTCTTTTTTGGGTCACCCTGCCTCGGTGGGAGACGATTGACTTGTTGAGAAAAAAAAAAAAAAAGTATTCATTGTCCTAGGTAGTAGGTTGGTAGACAGCAACTGCCCAGGGAGGTACTACCATCCTGCCAAGTGAGTGTAAAATGGAAGCCTGTAATTGTTTTACACGATGGTAGGATTGCTGGTGTCTTTTTTTTTTTTGTCTCATACACATGCAAGATTTCAGGTACGTCTTGCTACTTCTACTTACACTTAGGTCGCACTACATATACATGTACAAGCATGCATATATATATATATAATATATATATATATATATATATATATATATATATATATTATTACATACATACATACATACATACATACATACACACACCCCTCTTGGTTTTCTTCTATTTTCTTTCTAGTTCTTGTTCTTGTTCATTTCCTCTTACCTCCATGGGGAAGTGGAACAGAATTCTTCCCCCTAAGCTATGCGTATTGTAAGAGGCGACTAAAATGCCGGGAGCAAGGGGCTAGTAACCCCTTCTCCTATATATATTACTAAATGTAAAATATGTAAATATTTGTATTCTTAATGTAGGGTGTGAGGTGAGTTTATTTTGTAGGAAGTCAGGTTTGGGAGGTATGGTAGCCAGCAAGGTCAGCCCACCCCACCCACATGTAATGTACTACATTTAATTAAAGCTCTCCAGAGTGATAAAACATATGTACAGTACATTCAGTAATCATCTTAAAATATTTGTAGTCTTAAAGTAGGGCGAGAGGTGAGTTTTATTTGAAGGAAGTCAGGTTTGGGAAGTATGGAATCCAGCCAGGGAAGCCATCCCCACCCCACCCACACGTAATGTAAACAAACCAGACGAAAGTGTCTGGTTTTCGTCACTTTACATTGTATACAAGTTGTCTCCAAGTTCATACAGTAGAAGAAATAAAGAGAAACACTCCCACTCTCATGTAACATTATTTTTAGAAGAAATGACGCCTTGAGTGAAGGCATACTCAGATACAGGTACACATACGTATAATTATCAGTTATAATAATAATGTAGGTTATGTAGTCCGCCTGGGCTACATAGCTACACGATATTTAATGTAGTCCAGAGCCATATTATTACCATCGACATACCATGTTCACCGAGTTTAATCAGTTTCTAACAACTACCTTTAGATGCCATCATAAACAAAGGAAGAAGTAACGAATAATTCAAGCCGAGAATTGTAAACAAAAGCGTTATGTATTAAGGGGAGTGACGTAATGTTTTCCCTCCGCCCGGCTACCACACCTCCATAGTATACAGTGGACCCTCAGGTAATGGCATTAATCCATTCCAGAGAGCTCGCCTTTAACCAATTTGGACGTTAGCCGAATTAAATTTCCCCATAAGAAATAATGGAAATCCAATTAATCCCTTCCAGACACCCAAAAGTATTAAACAAAATAATT